CCCCACAAGCTTAGGGAGGGGGTGGGACCCTCTGTCCATTGAGTATGAGACCCTTGGAGGCTGGATGGTCTGCTATTAGGGTCAGCAGACCTTAGGGCCTCAGGTGTGCTAATTAATCTATCTGGGCAAACCAGAGTTACAGCTATCTCTTGACCCTATTTACCACCTGATGACTCACAGGAAAGGAGGGGCAGTGTGAATTCTTCTTATCTCAGGGCTTTGTGAGAGGAAGCTAGCAAATTCCAAGGAACAGATATTGGTTTCCAGGTTAGTCCATCATTAACATTACTTTTTAGGTCTTTCACCTGCAAAGGCCAGAGAAGGCACTGGATCCTTTGGAAATAGTTCTCAGCCATCACATGGGTGCTGGGAATTGAGTCCAGGTCCTCTATAAGAGAAGCTGGTTCCCTGAACCAGTGAAGCATCTCACCAGTTTCTCCAGCTTCTGTGGTTTCTAAGGTACATTGCTCAGAAACGGTAATTGAAAACAAGGGGACTTTTTTTTAAAAAAGAGTTTTCTTTTGTGAAGTGATTTGATGGTTTGTATTGCTTATTTAGGGATGAGAGATGAATGTTAAATATAGTTAAACAAGACTATAAACATTCTGGCCTGAAGAAAACACAACCTACTTGTTGCTTTTAACATCCATGTTAAAATGTCTTTAGAGCTACCGGAGGATGTAATTCAGTGGTGTATCTTAGATCAGTACATAGGTCCTGGGTTCACTCTTTGGTAGCAGTGAAAAATTGTTTAATTAATTGAATTAGTTAAAAAATGTTTTTTAGGAAAGCCAGTACTATGTCCGAAGGCTGCCTTGGCTTTATCAATTGTGTTAAAGGTGTGCCTCCAAAGAAGGTTCTAGAATAAAAGCTTCTTTTGCTGCCTCGGCCTCAGCCATGGACCTAGGATGGATAAGGAAACTACTTCCTCTTGTGTAGTAACTATAAACAGTGTTTCTCACCTATAGTTTCTGGTTCAGGAATCTTTTAATTACATCAACCCTAACATATGGCCTATAGGCCATAGTGTATCAGACAGACTCCTCAGCAAAGCAGGAAACTTTAAACTGTCCACCTGTAATGGCAGTTTGTCAGTCACCTTTCTCTGTGTCCTGCAGACTGTCTGGCAGACTCTTCCATGAAGCAGGAACCCTATAGCAAATGTCCATCTTGTATCAGCATCATTTTCCTGTGGGTCCTGCATGTCCAGTTTATACAGCATAAAGTCAAACAGTCCAGATAAGAGTTGTATCTTGCCCAAATGGCTAGTCTTTCCATATTGGAAGCAAACTCCATAACATGTGTCTTTGATGTCCATCTTTCTTTTTAATGCAGACAGTATTGCCAGGAGCAGTTGTGCCTCATTGTCAAGAAAAACCCTAAACTATTTTAAATGCCATATTTTGTATGTCATTGAAAGGTTTGAAGGATGTCTATTCATCTTAAATACATCTCTGTATATCTAGAAATCCTAACTAACTTAACTCTAAGTGTTGACTATCATAGGTAACTATAATCTGTACCAAATTATGCATTATATTTTTAAATGAGCTATATAAACACAATACCTAAACAAGAGGAGAGATATACATATCACAAATTGACCTTAAATTGTATCAATAAATGAAAATCCATTCCAAAACAAAGTATTCATATCTATACCATAATCCCCTTTTTATCTTTAAAAAATTGGTTGTGATCATTAACCATTTATAACCATGCCTATTTAAGTGAAAAAAAAAAAAACATTTATAAACAATATTTGGGAATTTGGGCATCATTCTTTCTAAACTGCTTCCTGCTGGTAGGGGGTGCTGCCATTGGGAATCCTAAGAAGAAATCCTGGCTGTAGTCTGCAAGGCTGGCTTGTCCCAACTATTTTGAATCTTGGATCACCTGGGACGATGTTTCAGGGGGTCTGGCTTGATCAAACCATTTAGTCTGGAAGGAATCCACAGCTTTTCATTTTCTGTGGAAACAAAAATAGAAATCCCTTTCCCCAGTAACCTGTCCTTGAACTTAAATTTTGGAGTCAAAGTATTTTTAAAATATATAAATTGGATTGATTCAGTAGCATTTCTTTTAATAGTTGTTATTGCCTCAGCAGTTAAAAGATACAAAGACAAAATAATACCATACAGTATCCAGATTCCTTGTGTGCTTTCCATCTTTACGTGGCTTTTTTATAACCTCTATTTTTTCATTTTTTGAGACAGGGTTTCTCTGTCCTGGAATTAAATCTGTATACCAGGTTTACTTTGAAATCACAAAGATTTGCTTGCCTCTGTCTCCTGAGTGCTGAATTAAAGGTGTGTACCACCACACTCAGCTACTCTCTTGTCTTTTTAAAACCGTTTTATTCTTTTTCTCTCCCAAGCCTACGTATATTTTAAAACACACTGTAAATCTTTAGCAGTTTTTCTTAATGTGAATCTGTCTTTACTGTAAATCTTTATCTTTTTCTGGCCATGAATCTTTTATCTGGTAAACAACAATATTGCTAAAATTAGTTTGTTTCACCACTCTTATATACCTTATCCAAAAAGTGGACCAAACAGAATTTTCTTCCTCGCTTATTCTAAGGGTTCAGTAACCACACCTTAGCTCCAACTTCTTGTTTCCTAGCCTTGAGGTCAGGAGTAGCCACACCTCAGACTCAGGTCTGTTGTTATTTAGAATAAGACAGCCAAACATCCTACTGTAGCCACACCTTTGACCTTTAGGTATGACGACTTGCTGAGGACACTTTTGAACTCTCTGTTCTTGTGCCAAGATAGAGTGCAGCTATCTTTGTGGGCACCCATACCATATGAAAGGACAGAGGTTTTAGGGCATTTTTGGTGCCCACTAAGGGGAAGCTAACTCCCCCCCCATCAAAAGAACAGCATCTATCTCTGGCCCTGAGTAGAGACATGGTATTTTAATATTACAGACTATTGCCTCTTCCTTAAGAATTAATCAACCTGGGCCTATCAATCACCTGGCCAAGAGACCGCCCTTCAGGAAACATGGTCCACCTGAGGGCATGCTAGGGTGGTGGGAGCACTAATTGTGCCTTAATGAGATAGTATTCTCATATGAACCAGAAGTCCTTGCTCCTACACAGTTTCTAACAGATCTTCCACTGTGTAGCTCTGTTAAGCCTGCCCACTTTTTTGAGTCTAATAAAAAAGCAGACTTTACATTTTCCTCTTTTCCTTTTTTTTTTTTTTTTTTTTTTTTTTTTTCCCTCTTTCTGATACTGCCCTAACCCATAAGCACACTTCCCCCAACAGTATGCTGGGTTTGCCCTCCCTCTAAAGCCTCTCTACTTCATTCGTACAGTCCAGTTTTAAGTGCCATTCAAATGCTAAGATGCACTCCAACACACATATATTAACTTACAAATACAAGCAGATTTTAAAGACAGCACTTAGTTTGACAGGCATTTATTCTAACTCTCTACTTCAGTTGGTAGAGAGTTAATTATCTTCTAATTAAATTATATTAGTCACCTTCCAATAAAAGAATGGAAGTAGCATATTATTAACATGGAAAGAATGCAAGAGGTTAAATAAACACAATGTTGAATAGTTCTGTTTCAACAAGGGCTCTTGAAGGTTGATTTGTGGGCCATTGACATCTTAAGACTCTTGAAACCCTTGTGCATTGATGACTTCTGCATCACTGTGGCAAAATAAAAACTCATGGGAGAAAAGAGTTGTTTTGGTTCACAGTTTAAAAGAGCTTTTAGTCCACTACGGTAGGAAGTCAGTAAGGTCAGGTCATGGAAGCTTCCCAAAGTACAGCAGACCAGCAAGCAAAAAGAGAGGGACCAAAACTATAACCTTGAAAGGTTGACATCTAGCAACCCACCTCCAGAAGTTTCCATAGCCCCTCAGATTAGCACCACCAGCTGTAGGACAAACATTTAAATTATGACCTATGGGGTACATTCCAGTTCAAGCCACAGCACTCCCTAAACTAAGAGACACAAACACTCACACACGGCCTACATGGCTACAGTAGAAATGGCAAAGGTCATATTCCTTCTAAGACTGGGTGGTGTGTTACAGTGAAAGCAATTCTTAGACTGAACCCGGCCTTTGGGCCAACATTTAAAAGCTACTAGGCACACACACACACACAAAAGCTGTCCAACCAGTTCTGTAAACTCCAGGAAGGACTGGCTCTTGGTGTTTTTGGCACTTTGACAAATGCCCTGCACAAAAGATTCAGTTAAGGCAGACAGTCTGTCAGCAGTAGTTAGCTGACCATTAGTCACAGTCAGATGCAATGTCTCCCAATGGCAGACCCTTCTCTAAATCCTGAGCTAGGGAGAGCCTCTGAGATTACCACTCAGGCTTCCTAGATGAGAAACCCAGTTTTTGAAAAGTGCAATGAACCCACATATTTAGGGCACCTCTTCTTCACTAATGCTCCTAGAATGTATCTGATAAATAGCAATGTGGTTGGTGTTTACTAGGGGCAGAAACATGGAGAAGACCTACAGCTGCCTCTAGGGACAGACATCAGATGTCAGAACAGTCTTTTCCATTTCAAAAATGCCTTATTCCAAATTGTGCATTTGTTCCTAAGGTTGTGTGTGTGTGTGTTAATAATATCTATTATTATTAGATGTTAGTTTAATTCTAGACATAAAGATCGCATCCCCATGCCAAGGAAAAAATTAAGGTTTATTTTTATTTCTGTGTGTGTGTGTGTGTGTGTGTGTGTACCACATGTGTGTGCTTGTGTGTGGAAGCCAGAAGAGAGTATCAGATCCCTGGGAACTGGGGTTACAGGTGGTAGTGAACCACCCAGTATGGCTGCTGTCTGGGCTCTAGAAGCATTGTGTGTGTGTGTGTTCATCTAAACATTTGAATAGAATAAATAACTATTTTAAAAGATATTATTAATATTTTAAGACAAACTACTAACACATTAAGCACACATTTACCCTGTGCTTTTAAAACTAAGCATAGGCCGCGGGCCGGGTGGGTGAGGAAGGCTTAGGTCGTCTGCTTCACGGCTTGTCGAGCGTCTGCGCCGCTTCTCCCTCTTCCCATCCGCTGCGGCTGGGCCAGCGGAGGCCTTCCGGAGCCATGGAGGACGAGGTGGTTCGCATTGCCAAGAAGATGGACAAGATGGTGCAGAAGAAGAACGCGGCTGGCGCATTGGATTTGCTGAAAGAGCTTAAGAATATTCCCATGACTCTGGAATTGTTACAGTCCATGAGAATCGGAATGTCTGTCGACGCTATTCGCAAGCAGAGTACAGATGATGAAGTCACATCTCTAGCCAAATCACTCATCAAATCCTGGAAAAAACGATTAGATGGTCCATCAACTGATAAAGACCCTGAAGAAAAGAAAAAAGAACCTACAATTTCATCACAGAATAGCCCTGAAGCAAGAGAAGAAAGTAGTTCCAGCAGCAATGTAAGCAGCAGAAAGGATGAGACAAACGCTCGAGACACTTACGTTTCATCTTTTCCTCGGGCACCAAGCACTTCTGATTCTGTGCGGTTGAAATGCAGAGAGATGCTTGCTGCAGCTCTCCGGACAGGAGATGACTACGTTGCTATTGGAGCCGATGAGGAAGAACTGGGATCCCAGATTGAAGAAGCTATATATCAAGAAATAAGGAATACAGACATGAAATACAAAAACAGAGTACGGAGTAGGATATCAAATCTTAAAGATGCAAAGAATCCAAATTTAAGGAAAAATGTGCTGTGTGGGAATATTCCTCCTGACCTGTTTGCTAGAATGACAGCAGAGGAAATGGCTAGTGATGAGCTCAAAGAAATGAGGAAAAACCTGACTAAGGAAGCTATCAGAGAGCATCAGATGGTCAAGACAGGTGGGACCCAGACTGACTTGTTCACGTGTGGCAAATGTAAAAAGAAGAACTGCACTTACACACAGGTGCAAACTCGTAGTGCTGATGAACCAATGACAACATTTGTCGTATGTAATGAAAGTGGAAATCGGTGGAAGTTCTGTTGAGTTGGAAGAATCGGCAAGGTATCTGGACCATTAAGAAAAATGGATTTTGTAATTAGCTTTAAATTTAGGCCAGGCAACTTATTTCTCTGCAAATGATATTTGTAAACAGTACACATCCCATGGATTGGTTTTTGTTTCTCACCTAACATCTTTCTTAAAGGCCTTCTATGGTTTCAAGTCAGCCAGGAGGCCATAGAAGAATTAGATAATGTATCTAATGTGTCACATTTTAAAAATTTTATAAGTAAGTTTATGTTACATTTTATTAAATATTGTGTTGTTCTCCATTAATGCATAAAGACAAATTGCTTTTCTCATTGTTATGTACCTAAAATATTAAAGGAGGAGAAATGGAGTAATACAAACGTCAGAGTTAAAAAAAAATGATATGTATTCCAGTAGTACTTGACCAGCTTATCAAAATTGTGCACACTATTTGAATTAGTATATCAATTTGTTCTTAATTACCATGCTCACAAAGCCTTGAGTCCCTAGATGGTGCATCTGTTACTAACAGCAGTGATCATTTCTTGTCTTTCTCATTCATGTATATTACTGTTTTTAATAGATTTTTCTTTGAGAATTGACCTAATTACAATCAATTTGGTTTTATTTGACTTTGCACTCTATTTTAGTTTCACAGAACTCTGTTATAGTTTCTAGGCTTTTTACAAAGCCACTCACAGGCATACTTCTGGTGACTTTTCACCCATAGGAAGACATACTGGGAAGGAAATGTCAGTATCATAGTAGGGTTCCCTAGACTGGACTTGCACTTGGGAATCTACTGAACAAGGACTAAGAACAGCACAGGGCAGGAACATGTAGTAGGGACGCTTGTTTATTTCGGGGTGAACAGAAACTGAAAGATGGAATGCAAAGTGTGGCCAAGGCAGGATATAGTCATCAAGAACATGCCATTAGAGGCCTATTTCCTCCCATTAGGACCCACCTCCTGCCTGTCATCACCTCCCAGTAATGCTCAGTTGAGGCACAGATGTTTCCTCCTCTCTAGATGTGATCAAGATCATCATCATGGGATGGAGGTTTCCATAGTGACCCTTCAGAATGCTTGACTCCATAGTCAGGTCCATGAAATAGACCAACACTGTGATGGATGTGTTTATGGTAATCATAATAGGGTTGTTCATACTCACTAGTACATGAGATGGGGAGGTGCCCCAGAACCCTTCTCTGAGATTTCAGCCATTGCTTCCTCCTGCCACACAACTTCACACAGTGCAGGGAATAACATTAAAGTATAAAGAAGGTAGGAAGAAGGTGAAAGGTTAACTGAAGGTGAGATTCTAATAATGAACCCTTCATTATGCTGTCATCTATGCTGGAAAGAGACCATTTGATGATACAGCTGTTTTTATGTCACTCATGGGCCTGTAAGTAGCCCTTCACTCATGCATCTCCTATAAATAAGGCAAATAGACTCTCATTGGTCACCCAGTTAGACTTCGGTGAAGTCATTTCTTCGGTTTGTCATTGGAGCCCTATCCAGGGTGAACAGACATTGGTTCACATTTCTCCAGGAAGTATAAGACAGCAAATTGTACCCTAAATGTATGGCACAGTAAAACCAAAGAGCTTGAGAGAAGCAGTTGCAGGGGCCCCTACTGTGAATTACTGGGACATGCAACTGAGACTGGGCCCTCTGAAGGTGGACGGTGCATGGCGTGGAAAAAGCCAAGGTGGGGCCATCTTTTCCTATGTGGTATGAACTGATGGATCTTCTTGTTGAATAGGGTCTGCCACAGGAGTACAGGGATGCCTAAAATGGTCACAAAGCTGGAAACTACATTGTGGTTTCTGAGAGTAGCAATATGAGACAGATGCTATGCTATTGCCACCAGAACCCATGATGTCAGTAGTGTAACACCAGCTGTGGGCAACATACACAGGTAAATGAAGCTGGCTATCTATCCAAAGGGAACATGCCCCATGTTATGGCGTATATAATATGGGAGGAATGTGCAGATCGTGTCCTGCATGGTAGTCTCTGATTTTATGGGTAAGTTGGATAAGAGAGGGTGAGGTGGGGGTGCTGATCAGCCATCTTTTATAGCTAGTGGTTCCAAAAGAATTAGAGTACAAATAAGGGTATGCTGAAGGCCTGTGGGGGATCTACAAACAAAGAACCCATGGAAGAATTGAAAAGTGAGGAAAGAGAAAATGAGAGAGAAGATAACCCTCAGGTCCAATCTTCATCATAGAGGAAGGGAGATTCCATAACTCAGCATGTAGGTAGGGTTCTTAAACCCGGAAAGTACATAGTCAGGGTGTATTCTGCCCATGAACTGCTTGAGCATTGGAAAAGACATTAGGAACACTTGTGGAAGACCCTCTTCCACCTGCTCCATTAGGCTGGCACAATGCGGTGAGCACAATCAATTCCAGGACCATGGACATAGAAACTGACTAATAGTACCACCTGTGTCCCCGTGAGACAAATAATTGATAATGGGAGAGGCATGGGGAAACCAATCCTTCCTGGGCTGGAATGGGTCATATGATCCCTCAGGGACACTTTGCAAAGGCAGCCGAGGTCTCCAAGAGCAAGGCTGGTGTGACTGAGGAATCTGGGCCTGGGACAGATAGGAGCTATCACTCGGTTCATTGGGATAGAAAAGATGGTACCCACTAAAGAAAGGGGCTAAGTCAGTAGAGGCCTTGGGATTAATAGAAGGCTTTCATGGCTTTTCTGAACTCCATGTTGGGCACACTCTTTACAAGATAGGGAAGGCATTGGCTAGTCTGAATGGTTGAGGCCGGCACATAATTCATGTTTGTGAAATATTAAAGCAAATGTGAAGTGGTGGGGAATCAAACATGGGGGCTGTTAGGCACCCAGTGACAAACATGGCAAGATGTGCCGTGAGCTGGGGTTTCTGGGGAAGAAACTGATGGAAAGCCAAAAGCTGTCCTCCTGAGCCTTTGGAAGGTCTTAAGCTTGTTTGCTAAAGGGAAGGACACAGGTGAGAAGAAAGATGTACAGGTGATTGCTATTGCAGCTCCAGCTACAGAGGAAGGGCCTCTCCTCAGTTACACACCATCCTTGCCGCTCCTCTGATGGTGCCAGGGTTGCCTGGCAAGTGAGGGCCAAATGTGACAACCTAAATGGCACTAAATTGAAGAAGCGTTGATCCCTTTCTAAATGTGAAGAATACTTAAGCTCAAGTGGTTAGCTGGAAGTGAGGGTGCCCTTCACTCAGGTAATTCCCAGAAGCCCTATGAACAGAGTGCAGCAGGGTATTATTTGGCAATAAAACAGTACAAGTGAAAAAGATTAAGTCTGTCCCTGGGATGAGAAATGCCTCTCCTACCCAGAGTATATACTATATGTATTTTTCTCCTGCAAGTGTTAGTGGAGGATGGGGCTTTTCACCTGACCTGGGGTCCTATCAACAACCAAGTGTAGCCAAGGACAAAACAACAGCCTCAGTATTCCCAGAACCTGTCGGATCCAAGGAACCAGCTTGAGCCCATCAGGGTTAAGGGTAGGCATGGTGGTGCTGGGATAACTTGGGAAAAATCATCACGGTTGTGAGAGATAATAAAGTGATACCTCTCATCATGTCACTGTATTCAGTGTTGCCCCTTTGAGGAGACAACCATTATCAACTGTGAGGGTCTCTCCATGCTGAATTAGATCTTGCTGTTTTGAAAAGTATCCTGTTAACCACTGAATCTCAACTGACACTTAATTGGAACTGATAGCACTGGACCTGCAGGACCCTGAGCCTTTGAAAGTCATGCTAACCACTAAGTGGCTCATGGATCTGGGGGAAAGCATTGACTATGGTGATACACACCTATAATCCCAGCACTTAGGAAACTGAGTCAGGAGAATTATGAGTTCAAGGCAAGTCTTGGCTACATAGATTGACTATAACCAGAGTTTTGCGGGGAGAAGCCAGGATATCAATGGGGGACCTCTGGCTTCAGACTTCAGAAATCCCAATAGACTAAGCTTGGCCACCCATCCCAGTATAGCAACCAAAGTGAAGAGGAATCATGAAAACAGAGGGGAGATTTAATTAACGCTCACTGGGAAGAGGTACAGATGAAGCAATCCAGTGGCCAAATTATCCTTGTCTCCAGTGCACTGAGCTTGAGGTTTGATGGGGAAATGAGGGCACAGCAATTTTCATCTGGGATTGCTTTGCTGTTCCCTTCCCTCCTGGTTACAGAGTTAGGGAGGCCAACTAAGCCCCAGACCCTGAAAGACACTTTTAGATGAACATGCTTGGGTCTGAAATGGGGAGGCAGAAACCCCCCCTTCCAAAGGGAACTTCTCAGTGAGCTCAGACAGCATATGACATTTTACCAATATAAGGCACATTCCAGAAAGTAAGCCCCAGGATAGTTGATGTACTCATGCCATGGCTGTGAAGACTTCAAGAAGATTGGTTAAATTATGTCCCTGAAATATGTTCACTTAATTACATTATATGATATGCTACTTATGATAACCTTCTGAATCACTATTTGGTGCTCAATGTAGTATTTCTGTAGTTTGAAATGTTCATCTCAGGCTGGGGAGATGGCTAATCAGATAAGAATGCTGGTTGTACAAACATAAGGAAGGACATTATCTCCTGCTACCCACATGAAGAACAGAAAGCCAGGGATGCTTGTAACCCCAGCACTGGCGTCAGAGAGAGAGGGAGGTGGATCCTGGGAGTTGGAGTAGGCATGGCTTTGTTAGAGGACACGTGTCACTGTGGAGGCAGGCTTTGAGATCTCCTATATGCTCAAGCCATGCTAAATGAGTCAGACCACTTCCTGTTGCCTGCCCAAGATGTAGAACTCTTAGCTGCCTCTCTAGTACCTGCCAGCATGCCACCATGATGATGTACTGAACCTCTGAACTGTAAGCCACCCAGTTAAATGTTTTCCTTTATAAGAGTTGCCATGGTTATGGTGTCTCTTCACAGCAACAGAAACTTTAGCAAAGACAGCCATGAAACTTTATTTTGTGGACAAATTTATTACAAATGTCCTATGAAATTACTTGCAGGCATGTATACATAGTATATATGATACATAAATAAATTTCATACTCAAAGTCTGGCTTTAACTTCAAGTGATCTTAAATATAAATGAGAACATTCCAGAATCTTAAATAA